TTAGTAGAAGGCTGTGCTTTTTGGGACACCTGAGAAGTTCTCAGTTCCTGTGTTACACCACTTCAGCAATCAGAGGGAGCAGATGGAGTAACTAAGTATTCTCAAAAAAGTTTTGAAGTAAGTTGGCCAAGTGAATTATCAAACTTAGAAAAGATGTCAGGATCAACAGGCAGTTGTGCATTCTCCTCTATACAGTCTTGCACTGTAAATAAAGCACTGTCCTAATGGTAATATTTTCCATAACAGGAGAAAGAAACTACTTTTGTTTAAACTCTTTTTCATTATATCAATGATTTTTATAAAGGGCACAGTCTTGCCTTGCTTTTCAAGGATTTTAATGGTGAAAGCACTGACTCATTTTTGTAAGCTGTTCACAACTTTTTCCCTAGAGACATCCCTCACAATAGACAGATTTTACCATGATATATTTCATTGCCATATCTCAAAGTATTTTGACAAAATGCCTAAATGTTATGTTGTCAGTATAGCAGGAACAACAACAGTGGCACAGAAATTACTTGCAGTAAAATTCAATTAAGAGAGAAAACTGGAAGTAGAATTCAGACCCAATACAACTCTCGTCAGGTATCTGAGGGTTAAGACATACAGGACTTGCACTGATCTTGTTTTTTCTGCAAATTTCAACTTTCACCTGGAAATGCTGGCCATATTTCCTGCATATTCCATTCTACTTCATGGGTTGTCATGAGAACTCAGGCTTCTCAGATTAAACCAAATATTGATATTACCCACTAAATTGTAATTCTGGGAGTGGTAACTGTTGAAATCCCTTCTCAGTCCTACTCACACCACAAGTCCACCTATTAGAAAGCACAGTGAAATTCTGAGGGAGTCTCCTGAAGTTTCCATCACTAATAATTTATATTTCTCATTTAGTCTACTTCAGTTGAGCATTTCAATATCTATCCATATGAATACCACTTTCAATAGATCCAAGAGTCATTTACAGCTCTGTGAAATAGCCACATTTTTCTGAGACAATTCTGTGATACAAACAGAAAGCTACTCCCCAGTGAAAACCAGCTGCAGGTTTCAACTGCTTAACCTGATAGCAGAATTAGTCTGCTGAGTAAGCAGAGTCCTCTCAAAAGGCAAACAATAAATAAAAATAACGTAGAAGAATTTTTCACCATTTGTTTGAGAAAAAGCATGAATGCACATATCAGGGTTCTTGCTTAGAAAGAAAGAAAAAGAAGTGGAGAATAAATCCTATCTGGAACAGAGAAAAAAGTTTCAAAAGACTCTTCAAAGAGTCTCTCAACTAATCCCAAGGGAGGCTCAAGAAATGGGAGGTGAATATGGGGAGTAAAAATGAAATCTTTAATTGAACTCCTCAAGCTCTGTGTGCATGGGCATGTTACATGTGTCTTACTGCTAGAATTATTTCTCACTCCTTGATGGGTGTTGCTGTATTGCACAGTTCAAGTTCCCTTCCAAAACATAGACTCAAAAAATTAATGGAGAAAAAACCAGAAGAGATAGACATTTGGTTGAAATAATTGCTGGAGCTCCCAGTCCCTCTTCACTGACTTGGCAGCCCACAAGAATTTGCTCTCTGTGTTGGAAGTCTGCCTTTGGTAACACCCTTACACAAGGAACCATGCCAAAATTCATCCAGTGACAGGAGTATAACCTACAAAGGACTAGAGAAACTTAAAGCTCAGGATGTTCATACTGAAGCACAGTAGATAGGCAGAATGCACAATACAAGGTTCAGTGACAACAATAAATAAAAGAAAATAATTTTAGAAACAGTCTTTCATGATTCTGATACCTCTTTTTTTTTGTTCTGGCTGACCTGTAATCTCATTATGGATTGAGATAGTAACATGGTTTGAAAATTTGCTGCATAAAATTGTCTTTTAATCACTTTGTGTTGCATTAAGGAAATTGTTCCTTTGATGGTTATGGTGGTGGTGAAACCTGAAGAGCACTCTTTTTGCTACTAAGCAGTGGTATAGTAAATAATGGAATAACAGAAAATTAAATTCCTTGATGTTTCACCAGTTCTGAATGCCTCTGTATCTCTTTAAAGTCCCTTAGTTTTAACAGCAAGTCTCACATTCTTTCATGGAATTACAGCACATAATGTGTGAAAGTTATATATATAGATGTATGTATACGTGTAGATATAGAGATACATATTTATATATTAAAATGGAAGGGACCGGAAAATGGCACACATCTGATAAACATAGAGAGAAAGAGTAGTATGTAGTTTGCAGTTGGGGGAAAAATAGTAATTAAGTAGAAACGGATTGCAGAGGGAAGGAACTCTTACCTCAGGAGATAATCTGCCCTACTTTCTTTTCTCACATTTTGAAGTCTATGAATCTTTTACTTTACTTTATCACTTTGCTGATTCCCTGCAGGCCAGAGCTGACAGCTAAGCCTCTGGTTTATCTTTAAAACTGTTCAAAGAGTGCTGGAAAATGACCTACCCTACTGAGTCTGAAAGTGGCAGGAGCCCACCTACTGGTTACCCCCAGTCCAGGTGATCACTGTTGCTTGAGTGAAATCATAATGATAGTCTCAGAGCAGCTGACAGATTGTTACAATATATGGTCTTTTACTGCTTCCAGTTGAAAACTAGAAATGGAGATGACTTTTTTTTATTGTCTCTAGAAGTAATTATTTCTGTCTTGAGCCACTGATATCAGCACATAAGGATAGTTTCATCCTGTGTTATTCACAGCTGTTTTGTATTTGACAGGGTCAAGTCTGTTTATTCTGTGGGCTCTCTTCACTGCCTTTGAATATAACCTTTCAAATCCTTTCTATTTTTATTCCATTGTGCTTCTAAGAATTAGACTTAAAATACAGTGTTGTCACTACACTTTGGCATGATAAAATGCAGTGATGAGTGTGGCCACATTCATGTCTTTAAAAATAGGATTCTACTGGAATTTTTACAGTCATTTTATTGCAGTAGGCTTTATCTTGTGGCAAAAACTGATATATCTCAAACAGTTCTCTGTGACCAAGCAAAATAAAGCAGAATAGGAATTGCAGACTGTTTATGTTCAGCCTGTATTATGAAATAATATGCTGGTGTATTGCATTTCATCTTCAAATTTTTACAATGTATATTATTATCAGAAGTGGTATGTAAGTAACTGGTATATGAGATTGCTAGGTTAAAATTCATCTGATTCATGAGACCTGAACCTGCATTTTTCCAGTCTCCAGAGGAAGCTGTAACACTATTCTTCACTGGTGTAAGTTCTTGTGATATAATTGTTTCTTTTTAGACAACTGAGGAGAAAAGAAACCACTAATGCTAGGCACAGCTCCTTTTATTTAAGTCACAAGTAATCTTTTGATTTTGTGCTGGTGAAAGTGTTTGCATGGAATTTGTTGTTATGTCCTGTTAACTAACGAGCAGGTTTGAAGGTAAGAGAGAACTTGTGAATCCATGAAGATCTGGAGAACTCAACCAGAATGAGTCTTTCAATTCTCCATACTATTCTGAGATCACAAGAAGTGGAGATATATATTGACATTAGCTGCACTCAACAGAAAATTCTTTTTTATTTTTGTACAGTGAAACATTTTCCAAAGTCTCTCCAAAAACATCAGGGATACCGTTTTGGATCTTTGCTTACCATGTTGGCATACTGACTTTACCATCAAGCCTTCACCCTGTTAGCAAGTATTCTCTACAGCATCAGTAGTTTTATTTTTCTTAAAATTTGATTGTGTTGTTGGCACAGCTTGACTCACTATACTGTGTACACAAGAGCAGTGGTCTCCAATTTACACTAGCATATCATGCAACACAGATGTACTAACTTGAAATGTATACCTTGAATTAGGAAACAAATGTCAATTATATGGTCTTTTTGAGCCATTTTAGGTGCATAGAAATTTAACATCAATTATGTTACTCACTGTAATGTCTTTACTCTTATTATGCCCACTCTTGGTCAATTTACGTGCCTACTCACTTCTGAATTTTTGGAATTTTCGAGTCCCGTGAACCCTTATGATTAATGAGGAGGATGGGACTGAAAATATATTGGGTAAACAGGCCTTATTGCCTCCTTACTAAGTAAACATTGCATTGCAGAAGGTACAATCTGAAGACATGTTTCAGACATCAGAGATACGGTGAGAAACATGAACAGGATTGCCTTAGGTAGGGAGGTTGTGCACAAACCACTGTTGAGTTATTTAGGTTAGTAAAGTAACTTTATCACATATTGTAAAAAACATTAAAAAAACCAGAAGGACAATTGAGTTCTTTTATGTGTCTCTCATAAAATCACTGTTTGTAGAAGTAGCTTCAAAATAATTCATGGTCCCTGATTACAGCATTGTGGTGGGGCTTGGTCTGTGCCAAGGGCCATCATTTGAAAGGACTCAGTGCCTTCTTAGAGGTCTAGTGCAGGATGGCATCAACAATATTTTGGATGATTTCTCAAAAAATACAGTATGGTTGCTAACAGTGCAGATAGGGGAAAATAAGCAGTTTTCCAAGTGCAAACTATGCAACATGAAAGCCTGGAGTAGCTAGGCATACATTTTGATTCAGTCACAGGGTTGTCAGTGCCTTGCTTTTCAAGTATAAAAAAAGGGCCAATAATATCCTTATTTTATGAAGGCATAGGAAAATAGTTTCAGTTTTCTGGGTATTTTGAACAAATACTGAGGATACTGCTCTCCTTAGGTGGACAGATCTGCCAATGGGCTGATCAAAGAAATTATGATGAATAAAAATGATAAGCTACAGATCATTGTAAGAGAAATTAACCTCAGCAGATGCAAAATTCTCTATTATCAATATTGCTTGCCCGAATTTGTGGTAGCTGCTGTAATTGTTTCACTGCAGGAAGAGGTATCAGTGACACGGTTAGCAAAGCACAATTTTCAAACAGTTTTGTTTTGTTTCAGTTTGAATATATATTTTACTGAGTAGAAATATAAAATAAAAATATGTATTTTAAAATATTCATTTATTTTTCTTTTTTTTCTTACAGCTCGTGGCCAATGCAATCCTTTTTGTCAGTGTAAATTTGTATGGGGTCTTTGTGAGGATTTTGACAGAAAGGGCTCAGAGGAAGGCATTCCTTCAGGCCAGGAACTGCATTGAGGACAGGCTGAGGTTGGAGGATGAAAATGAAAAACAGGTCAGTTTCTAAACTTTATTTATTTTTCTCTGTTTCTCCTGACATGACTGTAGTTATGTGAACTGAAGCTTAGGACATTGCTGGCAATTGTATGCTAGGGCGTGTGCACATTTGCATTGTAAAGGAAGCATGCTGCCTTCCCCCGCCTGCTTCAGCTCTTCCTCGCAAGTGCATGCATACTCTTCACTCTTTATCTGGAGTGCTCAGAGAGGTGCAGGCTGACCCCACAGCTACTGTCAGCTCCAGTGCCAGAGAAGCTATATTTTAGGGCTGAGTCAAATCTAATATACTATTGTAATCTAAGATCGTGGTTATTTATCTAAGATCGTGTTTTTGGGTGGGTGCTAGATGTGCTGTAAATACTTTTCTTCTGGCTCTGTGTGTGCATGACACCTACAAAAAAAGTCAACATTTTAGTCACAAGGAGCTGCATTGATAACTGAATAAGTGTAATTGATAACAAGTATATATTATATACATTATATTCTTGTATAACTAATAACAAAATCAACTGTGATAGCAATCTTTTCTCAAAAATGACCTTAGTAACTTGAAGGTTTGTTTCATACAATGTTATCAATCAGGCTTTCAAACAGATTTGGAAACAATGAGAAGAAATGTTATATTGTGGAGCTTGCTGTTGTTCCTCACAGGTCTGAAGCTTAAGCCTACCATGATCTGTTGGTCTGTAAGATTTCGTCTAGATTTTTCTTTCGGTAGAGGTGATAATAAAGGGTCATGCTGGAATATTTAGATTGACCTCCATGGAAGGATGGTTACTTATGCCAATAAAGGACTTAAGTGATATTAAAACCTTGTAATACAAGATATCAGGGTCCTCAAAACTTCTGTACCTCACACAGTTTTACTTGCCTTCACTTGCAATTTCTCTAGTAAGTCTGTTCCTTTGTGTGGAATAACATAGGTCCTTAAGTACTTTCTGTTATGAATTAAGTGCATGAGTTTTTATGACCTGAACATACTCTGTAATAAGTAGACGTCTCTTGGAACAACTGCATATCTTTGCTGGCTGTGTAAAAACGGTATCAGGATCAAAGCCTTTAGGTTTACTTCTGTCTTTTATAATTCAAAGCTGCAGATTCTTAAAGGCATAAATGTGCCATAAGTGAATTTCCATGGGATTTAGACAAGCCTGCCATTTGTGCCTTTGAAAACCTCCTTCTGAGATCCAACTTGAAAACCAAATTGATTTTTGTGTTTCTCTTGTTAGCATGTTAGCAGTCTGTCTTATTTTATATATTACCCATGCATATAGAAACACAAGAAAGTGAAAATATTACACATAAATACCATTATTGTTGATAGTATACCTAAATAATCCTGCAAAGATTCTTCCAATGCAGTTTACAGTCAGGGAAGAGAATATATTTTTCTCCTATACTTGTGAACTTAACTTTATGCAGCACAGTGTAAAACTTAATACAGTAGTGATATATGCTATTTAGCTGTCAAAAGTGCCACCAACATACTTTCTGTCTGCTCTCACACTACATTAGCATACCTCTAATGCAAAATGCTAAAACCTTTCATTGGTATTTCTGTGCAAGTCTCTAACTGGAAAGGAAGGAACATGCTCCTGGCCTTTGAACACACATAGCTGTCTGAAGTTTAAGTGTTGACTGTGTGAGACAGATACCACAGCTGAAATTGTATGTGAGTTTTCTTCCTCTGTGTCCTACTTACAGTGAATTCTCCTCATGGGATGCATTTGTAGTAATACTCCCATGTGACAATTTTGATAAATGTATTTTCACAAGCAGGAGTAAATATGTTGTAGTATTTTTTGGACTCATGCAGGAATTTTCAAGTAGGTTTTGAAAGTGTTGCTCAGGAGAAAGAAAGTCTCTATTTTAAAATTCAGTGTAATGCTCACCCTCTTATCTGTTCTCTGTGGTCACAATGAATAATTGGCCATGATGGTTGCATCATCCATTTGTTACGTTGCCGAATGTTAGACTGCAATTTCACCTGAAGGTAAAGAACCAAATAAGTTTTAGACAATGAGCAAATAATTATAATCATTCACTTGAGACAAGCTTCTTCTTTTGTTATCTATAACTCTCAGTTGCAAGACCATCCTCTGCAAAGCAAACAGTTAGGAATAAATATTGTGAGGTGGGTTCTGTTCCTTGGAAATATACTTGTTTTGTTCCTACTCACTCAGAGTGCCTGAGCCATTCCCCTCACTCCCACTGCACTCTCTGTTTTCACTTTCTTAATTCCAAACCATCATTTGCCCATACAGCAAGCAAGGCATTGTCACCTATCTCCCTGGAGGACTCCCAGTGTTAGACATCCCAACCAGCCCTCCAGGCAGTACTTCACCCCTTCCCAAGTAAGAAAGAGAGAAGCAAGTAGGAATGGGGAATGGGGGATGTGGTCAGCATAGAGAGAGGTGTCTGCTGCTGACTGAGGCTGCTATCCATCTAACTCGGAGGGGAAACCAATAAGGAAGATGTGGTTCACCATATATTAATTCCAATCATAGTGGCTCTTGAAGCGGAGCTGTGCTCCAAGGAAGTGATACCATTGTACTTCTGAGGCCATCTTAACTTGAAAAGCAACAAGATCACTGTCTTTAAAGACCTGCAGACTCCCATTTTCCCAGTGTCTTTTTCAGCATGTGTATAGTTTTGTTCTCCTCACAGTTTTGTGGTGGTGAATTTCACTCCAATTATGTACTAATTAATACTCTAATTATGCACTGTGTGAAACAGAACTTCCTTTTATTTGTTCTAGACTTGTTATCTGATGACTTGATTTGTTTTGTGATATATTACTAGTAATCATCCTACAGTAACCTCTTTCATGCCACTCACAACAGAGACTTCTCTTATAACCCTTCTCATCTCTCTTTCCAAGCTGAAGAACTGTAGCCTATTTGGTCTCCTGATTTTTGGAAGCTATTTCCTACCTCAATCTTGCCAACCTTGTAAAGAATCTTACTCACATCCCCCCCACTCTTCCGCTGACAATATTTCTATACACATTCATACATTGAATTTGGGGATAAAGCATATAATTTCTTGGTGAAGTACACTTGTTGCAGCATAGACTGATGTAAAAAATGCCTGTTGCTTTCATATTGTTATAGGTAAATAAACCAAATCAAAATATAGCAGCAATTTTTATTATAAGATTTATATAAAGTGCAAATAAGCAAATCAGCGCGCTGGGTGGCCTGGGGAGACCCCTGCTCCTCCAACGGCCCGCAAGTACAATGGAGACAAACAGTAACTTTTATACCTTTTTTAACTCCCCTCCCATAGTCACTTGTTAGCTCTTCATTGGGCTTGAGTTCGCGGGCTTCGTTCTGGTTGGTTCCGTTGCAGGCCCATGCTAATTGCCAGGTACTTTCTGTCAGCAGTTTTAATTAGCTCAAATGTCCTTGGAGCTGGGTATGGGAATGGTATCCAGATGTTCTCTTTGGCTCTTCTTTATCATCTTTGTCCTTGACTCCCTGATCCTTGTTCTCTTCTTCCTTTTCTAATGAGTACACTTAGACAATATTTTTAGAAAAACAGGATATAGTATACATGCTCAGCAAAGTAGAATACTTTATCTTGCCAACTAGGGAACTACCAGTTGCAGGATAGTCAACTTATAACAGTAACACAGCAGTTAACTATTTCACAGCTTACAACTCCCCAGTCCCAACAAAGCATTAGCTATAATATATGGAAAGTACAATATATATTTTGACGAGTAAATTATTTTATCATTGCTCACTCATTACAGTATGAGGAAGGCTGGAAAAATGTTTGACTTCATGCAAACCTTCAAAGCCCACAAAACCAACTTAGATATCTTTACTGGTTATTTAATTGTGTAAGTACACGAAAATATGTTTGCAAAATAAAGAACACCTTTCAACTCACTTGTTTAGCCCTTTCTTTCTCTCCCTCCTAAATGTTACTTTTGTTCTTGCTCACAATTAGAAATGATGGTGGAAAATCAACTGGAGAATAGTAAAGTCTCCAGAATGGGGGATTGGCTGTCTTAAAAACTAATTGTGAAATCACATTTAGTTTTTCAAACCATTGGGACTGGAGAATTGGTGGCATCGGTCTTTCATGAAATAGTTGTGTCATCCACTATGATGCATGAAATTTAAGTTTATTACAGGATTTATTGTAAGAAACTGAAAGAAGCACTAAAAATGAGGGGAGTTAGGAGCACTGGGCTGAGACAGCCGCTCTGTGGCTTCAGAGTTCGCTTCAGAGACAGAAGCCTGCCACTCCCAACTGGTCTAGCCAGCTTTGCTGAGAGAGTGGATTGTTCAACACCATTCTGCTGCAGTAATGGTGGTTCTGGAAGACAGACTAGCACCTTGATGTTGGTCTGCAGAGCTTCCAGATCATGTGCAGCTAGCTAAATTTTTCTTCCGCAATGCTGAATTGTGTGTGCAAATGTCTGCATGCATATGTGTATGCATTCCAAGTGTCTTCTGCAATTTAGGGCAATGTCCTTAAGGTTGCATGTAGTAACTGGGTCACCACTGGGTCAGAGATTTGATTAATAACTATTCACAGAAATGGGAAAAGGTGTCAACAAAAGATACCATGATTCTCAGTGCAGAATACTTTGAACTGCTGCTTAGTATGTCTTGAGTTCAAATTCCCTGCTGGGTTCAGATCCCCCTTCAAAACAATTTAATCTAGACATTACACATTTTGTATATGTGTACTTCCCCCTGAGTACCTCTGAGTAAAAGGACACCTGCAGAAAACCTCCAGTGGTTTTATCTGTTACGTTTAATTTCAAGTACTCATGAAGAAAGAGATAAAATTACGTTATGTTTGAATAAAGCAAACCATGTTGGATTTTTGTTTTGGTAATGGATAAGTTTGCTGGGGTTTTTATCCTTTCAATTCAGCAACCAAACTGAGGAATTTGTTATTTGCACAGCCTTATGCAGAAGTAATTTCTAGAGTGCCTGACAACATGCTTATCAATACATAATCAGGTTCTCCTCATGT